TTTTTAAGATTTTATTTATTTATTTGATAGAGACACAGCAAAAGCGGGACCACAAGCAGGGGGAGTGAAAGAGGGAGGAGCAGGCTTCCCGCGGAGCAGGGAGCCCGATGCGGGGCTCCATCCCAGGACCCTGGGATCATGACCTGAGCCGAAGGCAGACGCTTAACGACTGAGCCACCCAGGTGTCCCACAGTTGTAATTTTCAAAGCAGCAATCAAAGTCTAATGCGATTCTCACATTTCCCTCTTTCAAGAAATAAATACTCGCACGTTCCAAGGTATTTGAAGCCGTGCAATTTGCAGAGGCAGCAGGTAGAATGTTGCTATCCGTATTATTTATGTTTTTGGTAGTAACTTAGCTAGCAACGCCTCTCTCTGTAAAGCGTACTCCCAGTAACTCCTTAAGAAACAAACACCAGGAACAAACACTGTCCTCCCACGGATTTGGGCGGGGGGTGGAGCCTCAGCGATTTGTGGGAAGAACCGCTCAGGGCCTGGGAGGGCTCTCTGCTCCCGCTCGTCACTACTCGGCTCCGCTCGGCTCTCTCTCGGTTCTCGCTCGGCTCTGTTCGGCTCCTCCTGCAGGAGAGACAGAGAGCGCCTGCAACTCTGGCGCACGCGCTCAGGCCTCTTGCTGCTCTTAGGGGCCCGCTTTGCCGTGTGTTTTCACTTCCTTCTCTTCCGAGCTGTATCCGGGTCGTTGCTTTCTCTATTGTTTCAGGCAAACGACCTCGGACTTTGAAAATTCTGGGTCTTTTGTTGTTTCTGGTGCAGGCTAATAAAGTTTTTCTTTCTTTTATTTTTTTCTAACAGTTTTAACGGAGGAAATTAAGTCCCCAGAGCTGCCGGGGCCTGAGGGAGCCTCTGGCACTGGAGCGCCGTGGGAAGGGGCGCGAGCGGCCGGGGCCGGTTCGGCAAGGACTAGGGGGCGGGGTGGGGGGCGGGAGGGGACCTCAGCGCTGCTTTCTAGGCGCCCGGGCCTGGTCGGAGGCGCCGCCGATTTTAAGTAGCATCTTTCGGATTTGTTCCCGCGGTATCAGTCCCAACTTCAGCGCTGCCAAGGCTCTCGCAGCCTCTCTCTAGGTCTCCTCCAAACGACCACCTCACGGATTCCTTAGTAAGTGTGTTGGAGGCCTCCGCCGGGAGAAAGGTGCATTTCAGCCCTTCTAGAAGTCAGGGCCTGTGGGAGCAGGGTGGGGGTGGCAGGTTCTGCTGGAAGCTGGACCTTTCGTGGGCGCTTCCCTTCCACAGTCTGCGGGAATGAACAAGGCTTCTTTCATTACCTGGGCTTAGCGTTTTCTTTCTGTTGACTGTCTCCGTGTCTGAGGGATTATGAACGAGTCGCAGAAACAAGAGGATGTTATGGGGGTCAGCTTTGATTTTGGTTGGCCTAGGTTCGCCTTTGCCACACCCCAGCCTGGAGCCGCCTCTGCTGCTGGCCAGCACTCCCCAGCCCGTGTGCCCACCCAAGCAAGCTTCCTATACTTTTTGCTGAGAACTGAATTAGACAGATTCCCTGCACGAGGTCATCTGTATCTTCCCTTAGCATCACAGCTGTCCTCTGTGCTTGGCGTGATTATTAATGACGATGTAATGTTTTTCTCTTAACAGTGGATCGCAGCTCCAAGAGGAGGCAGGTGAAGCCTTTGGCAGCTTCTCTGCTAGAAGCTCTCGATTATGATAGTTCAGATGACAGTGATTTTAAAGTTGGAGATGCCTCAGGTAAATGTTTCCTTTTCTTCCCTTTTCCCAGCTTTCTGGAGGTTGGGCTTATTTTCAGACCCTTTTTAAAAATCGACTTTGATTAA